CTTGTACAGCAATTAACCACTAAGAAGAATATATGCAGTGTATTATTTGTTGAAAAATAAAAAACAAAACAAAACAAAAAAAAATCAACATGAAAGCATCACTTACTGGACCTACAAATCCCAACAATCCTGACCGAATGAATGGTACATCACCAATTGGAGAGCCTGCAGAATTCACTGGAATCACCTGAAAGACAAAAGAAAGTAAAAGCTTTGTATTTTCTTAGAAAATATTTTGACTTTTAAAAGGTCTTACAAAATTACAATAATAATATTCTTCTTAAATTTTTTTTGTATTTAGTACAGGATCTCACTACACAGATCAGACTCATAATGATTTTCCTGTTTTTAGCCTCCCACGCACTGGGATTAGAGGCCTATGCCACCACACCGTCTCAGTCACCATCTCAGCTTGCCCCAGGGGTGGGGTCAGCATGGCATGCTGGGGATTTTATCCTGGTTCCTGCGTCTGCCTAAGCAGGTGCTTTAATCTGCTGAGCTATCTGGCCGGCCTTTAAATTTTTATTTATTTTTTTGGCTCGCTCAGAATGCCTTCAGGGCAGGTTTGGCTGGCTTGAGTTCTGGGGAATCGAACCACAGCAACCTGAGCTGACTGATTGCTTAAGCAGGCTCTTAAAGAACTGAGCTAAGGGGCAGGCCCCCTAATTTTTTTATTTTTGAGGCAGGGTCTCAAGATGTATCCAGGCTGGCCTTGAACTTAACTGTGTAGCCCAGACTGTCTTTGCACTTGAGGGGATCCTCCTGCCTCACCCTCCCAAGTGCTTGGGATTATAGGCATGCACCTCCATGCCTGGCTCAATGTGGTATGTTTAACATGTACTCAATAACAACATGAATTAACATTTGTGATTTTAAAATCCCAATCATGCATCAAAGCTATAAATTTATTTCTGTTGAATACTCCAAATAAGTCTATTTTAAAAAGTGAAGTCTCTGATGTTTATATTGATCAATCCATTTACATATAAAAAGTAGAGCAAACAAAATGACATTACTGCTAGTTTCCACTTAATTTCTTCATAATATGGTTGTCTGCATTAGTGAAAATACTTTTTTTTTTTTTTTTTTTTTGTATTTTAGGGAACAGTCTACAGTGTGGTCAGGGTTTCACTACTAGATCAGACTCGTAGTGATCCACTCGTTGACAGCCTCCAAGAGCTGGGATTACAGGTGTGTGCTACCACGCCCAGTCTCTGAAGATGCTTCCTAAAAACACATGGGTATCCCAGAGATCATGGCAGATCACTTTATAACAGTCAAGATCATCAATAGAGAATTGTAAGTGTTGGTAGCATTCATCTGTTTCAAAAAGAGTGCTGTTTGTATACACATTCGGTCAATGAAGTCAGCCCTGTAGTCTTCTGCTCAAAGAGCATAGCAATTTCCTTAGTACCATAAATGAACTTTTCTAAGAGTACTTCTTTCAAGTTCATATCATTCTCAGTTTTCTGAGTTATAGTCAGAATCACTGGTTTGCTATTAGCCACTTCTGGTAATAGTGATTCAAAGTCTCTTGGAAGCAATTCTTCATGTTTGGATTACACACTCAACTCTGGCACTTTCCAAGTAAGTTTCTGTACTTGTTCTACAGGTGCATTATTATCCTGAAATTCATTCAAACATTGCGCCATCACAAACTCAAGTCTTTCAGTTGATAAATGTTCTCTGAGAACATCAGGCCAAGTTTTAAATCTTTGTTTTTCTTTTGTACAGTAGTGTTGCACACTTGGGAGGCTGAGGCAGGAGGACTGAGTATGAGTCCAGCCTGAGTTGTAGCTCACTGATCTCAAGGCCAGCCTGAACTGCATAGTGAGACCCTGTCTCAAAAAGACACAAAGAAGCCTATATTCCCAGGAAGCTGGAAATGCTGATTTATTTATTTTTGGTACCAGGAATTGAACTCATGACCTCATGCTTAGCAGGCAGGCTATGTATAGCTGAGCTATAATCCTGGCCCCATGGAAACACTGATCTTGAGGTCCAGAAGATCTTCTGGTTTCATCAGGCCACACTGTTTGCGAGAATGTATCAGATGCAGTGGCTCATAAGATTCATGAGAACATAAAGATCTGCTGCTGAATCGACAACTCTTAACTAAAGAGTAAAAGCCTGGAAGAAACCAGTGTGACCCTGTTACAGAGCACCATCATACTAGTATGTGTGAAAAATATCTGTTGGTCTTGTTTTATAGAATTGTAGTCATTTTTTGTACTGGTAACTGGCCATTTCTAGTGGAGAAGGTAGATGTAGTCTTCTCTTTCCTAAAGCAATCTGATTCATAGAGCTGCCTCCAGCTGTCCCAGAAGTCTCTTCTGCTATCAAAACGCAAGTAAAAGCCACATCTGGCTTTGAAAGCTTTTTTAAATTTTTTGATTAATCAGAAAGGTTTAATTACTAGGTCTCTTGTTCTAGTGAAATGTTAAGCATTCTGGAATACACCCTCTGAATTTAAATATAAATCCTATGAAAAATAATAGAAACTTAAATTTATAGTACCAAAGAAACAATTTTTCACTTTTAGTTAGGAATTTTTAGTTTGCTATGGTTACATTTATAATTAAGACTTAAAAATTTCATTACTTTGGATATAGCATTTTGATATTCTGAGAATATGTGTATATATTTCCCCCCCCCCCTTCTTTTTCTTTTCCTGTAGACAGTGTTTAGCCATACAGTTCAAGTTGGCCTTGAACTATGTAGCCCTAGGCTGGCTTTAATCTCATGGTGATCTTTCTGCCTTAGTTTATCAAATGCTGGGATTACATGCATGCACTATTTTAACTGGCTAGGAAAGGTAATAAAATCAAGTAGTTTTAGTATTTTCAAATTCTGCTTAAAGATCTTGTTTTTTTTTTTTTTTTTTTGGTGGGGAGGTTGGGTACTAGAGATTGAACCCAAGACCTCTGAACTGAGCTATACCTCCTAACCAGCATTTACGTACTTATTTACTCATTGAATTATTGACAAGATCTTCCTATGTAGTTCAGGCTGGTTTTGGACTCACAGTGTAGCCAACACTTCCTTGAACTCTCAGCAATTTTTCTGTTTCAGCCCCCTGAATGCCAGGATTATCTATAGGCATGTGCCATCATGCCTGGCTCCTTTTTATTTTTTTATTTTTTTGTATTTTAGGGAAGGGTCTACAGGGTGTTCAGGTTCTCACTACTAGATCAGACTCGGAGTGATCCGCCTGTTTACAGCCTCACAAGAGCTGGGATTACAGGCCCATGCTACATGCCCATTCTCCCTTTTTAAAATCTCATTTTTAATTAGAAAAACTCAAGAAAGGAAATTATAGACATTGAAAAAACATGCATGTCAATCACTTAAAATACGAGAAATAGGAGCTGGAGTTGTAGGTCAGTGGTAAACACATGCTTAGTATGCCCAAGGCCATAGGCTTAATCTTGTTCTGCCCTACAAAAGGGGGAGAAAGAATGTGAGATTTAAAGTAGTTTAATGTATAATGCTAAATAAATTTATATGTATTTAAAAGAGGTAATCATCTATGAAAATCATCTAAGAGAATGGTGGTAAACAGAAGCTTGAGGAGGATGTGAATGCCCACTCCCAAGACATTTTATGATTCCCAGAATAACATTTTAGGTTACATAAATAGCAAGATGATGGCCAGTCCAGGAATCTTAGCTCTTATTAGGCTATACCACAAATAACACAGATACATTTTTTCATACAGGTGACACTCACTAGGGACACCTGTCAGTGTGTAGTCAGATGCATTTATTGTCAAATGGAAAGGTAGACACAGGTGTCCTGCTATTTTGAGTCACCAGTATACATTATAAATTTTTTTTTTGGTGGGGGGGAACAGGGGATTGAACTCAGACCGTTGCATTTGCCAGGCAAGTGCTTATTCTACTGAGCCATCTCATCTCCCCAGCCCCCGAGAAAAAACTTTAAAGAACTGAAAATTGGGCTGGGGGCACACTGAGACAGCAATTGAGACTGGGTGTGGTGGCAAGCGCCTATAATCTCAGCTCTTGGGAGGCTGTAAATAGGCAGATGACTATGAGTATGATCTAGTAGTGAGACCCTGAACACCCTGTAGACCCCTTGCCCCCCAAAAAGAACTGAAAATTGGCAATGTTCATAGAAGCCTAGTGTAAACGAGACATACATACCAAATAAATTTCTTTGGTTCCTAAAAGGTACCCTGATTATTATTATTGTTGTTATTAATGTATTTGGTCCAGGGTCTTACTACATAGCTAGACTAGTAGTAGTCCCTATGTTTTCAGCCTCCCCAGTGTTGGCATTACAGGTGTGTGCCACCATGCCCAGTCTTGGTGGCTGGCTCAGTGCACACAGGGGCAGGGGCAGTGTGGCCTATGGTGCAGGGGACTGAACCCCGGTTTCTGTGCTTGCCTAAGCAGGTACTTTGTCCATTGAACTATCTTGCTGGCCCCTTGATCCTAACTATAAAAATTTCTGTTTCTGTTTCCAGGCTTACAAGGTAAACTTCTCATTATGGCTTGGCTTTACAGACAGAACTTCCTGCAAGAAAGTAAGTAATGTGCTGTCGCATTAGAAAGTGCAAACTCTACAGGACCGTGTAGCCCAAGCATGTAGACCACAGCCCCACACTCAGAAAAGATGCTCAACAAATCTGACTGAAAGTCCAAAAATGTAAGCAATCCGAACCCTGTGACAAAGACAGTTCTTCAAACCCTGGCATGAGTAACACATGCCTGCAATCTCAGCACTTGGGAACTTAAAACATGAGTTTGAGGGCAGTCTGAGCTATACAGTGAGGTCAGGTTCAGCCTACACTATGTAGTAAAACCAAAAATGTTTTTACAAACAAAACCCCCACAAAAACCAGTTCTGCAACTTTACTTACTAATCTAGCACAACCTATGTCACTGTTTTTAGCCCAGGCTGGCCTCAAATTCAAAAGAATCTTCCTGCCTCAGCCTCCTATGCTGGGATTACAGAGGTATGCCACCACATCTGGCTGTTACTGTTACTGTACTCTTCAAATTAAATTTTTGAGGCCAGGGATATAGCTCAGAAATAGACTACCTGTCTAGCATAAAGTGACCCTAGGTTCTATCCATAGACCATGAAAAAAGGTAAAAACTTTTTGAGTTTATGAACTTTAAACTATGGAAAATTCAACAGCAATTTTTGGAAGGATCTCTCGCCATTATACAAAATGGTGTCTCTTATGCGTTAGGAATCTTTCTAAGCACTTCATGAAATTTTAATTCATTTAACTTTATAACAGATCTGTAAGACAGTTACTGTTGTTGTTTTTTGTCTTTTTGAGACAAAGGGTCAGTATGCAGTGTTCAGTCTGGCCTTGAGTTCACCTTGTAGCCCAGGCTGGTGGTAGTTACTGCTGTTACTCATATTTTTAAGATAAAGAAAATGGAAAGTAGGAAGGCTCAGCAGCCCACACAAGATCAGCCAGTGAGCGGCAGTCAGGATTTGATCTGAATCCTCTACTACAGAGTGTAAGCTCTCAAACACTGAGTACAGTGTCCCCATCAGCCAGCACATCTCCCTTCCTATAGCCGACCTTAACCAAATATTTCCTCCAAGAAATATTAATACTATATACCTCAAATGTATTTTTTGTCACACCAGCAAGCCCAAAGTACATCATCCCTCCAGTTCTGGAGCTAACACAGATTTCTCCAATTTCATCTGTTTTGCAGAGCTGAGGAGGTCCATCTGGCTTCACAATGCACATCATCCCTGATGCACAGAAAACACAAGTAAGAGACAGAAATTCTGGAAAACCTTAGCAAGTAACAGCTTTATCCTGCAAACCCTGGAAAAATTCACATTTACCAAGTAGCATTAAGAATACTGAACGGATATACTAACACCCCACAATCAATATAATCATTATGTACTGTGAACAAATACTAATGAAAATTAAAAAAAAAATATCAAACAAACAAACAAAATCAAAGACAAAAACCAAGGCAACTAAAAAAACAAATACTAAAGAGAGGGTGGAGATACAGCTCAGTGGTACAGTGCTTGGCTAGTATGTACAAAGCCTTGTGTCTGATTCCCTAGCAACACAGAGAGACAGACAGACACCCCCCAAAAAAACAAATGCACTAAAAATAAAGCTGAAACTATGTAAGTATAGTATATGTGAAATTTAAAGCTTTTTGAAGGGATAGGCAGTAATTCAGTGGTAGAATAGTTGCCTATCATGTGCAAGACCCAGAGTTCAGTCCCTACTGGGGAAAAAGAAAAGATTAAAAGTTTCTGAGACAATGACATATCAAAAAACTGACCAAAAAGTACAAGGACACCGGCTAAACAGGTTGGGATATACCCCGAGGTAGACCAGATTCAAACACTCATGGAACTGGTACATTTTTTCTGTTAGTCTCAATGCTTTGACATTAGTGTGAAAAATCAGGTAACTTTGGTATCACTCAGTACTTAGCTTTCCATACGAAGAAATGCAACTGAAGTATTCCCATAATACTGCTCAAAAGGTGAGTATATTTCTACTTAATTATTAGAAAGGTTTGGAGAAATTTTGTGACCACTAAATGCAGGATTCCAGGCTTTGGAACTCGTATTTTCTTAGGCCCCACTGTCTCCAATGACACATCTTCATGAAAAATCCCAAAGGGGCCTGTCATGACTCACCCCCAGGCATCACATGTCCTACATCCTGGACTGTAAGTGCTGAATTCTTATCTTCAGTATTGACCCGGATTACCCCATAGCTCAACCCATTCATCGAGAGAATGGCTCTTCCTGGCAGAGGAGCCCCTGGAACTCCAGGCCTGAAAAAAGAAAATAAAATACAGTCACTCTAGCAACTTCAATCATATCAACAGAAAAAAATACAGATGTAATGTATGAACACAGCTTTCCTCTGGTTACCAAATAAATCTCTATTTCTTCTACCAAAAATATGCCAGGTTAATCAAATTTCCAGGTACAAATCACAAAGAATTTTCAATAAAGTGAATGAAAAAAGTCCAATCACTTACTTAAATTTCTTACCCTCTTATTATCTTGTTTTGAAATTATTTGCTCTCTTTAATATAAAAGTTTAAAAAATGAAAAAAGGCAATTATTGCTAGTAGTATCAAATTTAGGTCTTAGAATTAAGCAATATAGAAAAAGCTATTAATTCATGATTTTATTAATGAAAATAGCACTATATAATACCATTTATGGAATGAATTCTATACTAAATTATATTATTAAAATAATATCAGGGCCAGGGAGATGGCTCAGTGGAATAAGCGCTTCTCTGGCAAGCGCAAGGGCCTGAGTTCAATCCCCGGTTCCACAAAAAAAAAAAAAAAAAAAAAAATCAAAATGCCTAACAATCTTTAACAGAGCATATTTGAAGGCACTGAAAACATTAAAGATTATTTAAAATTCCTGTAAAAACAAACAAACATTGGTGCTAGCATGAAGGAGGCTGAATCAAGAGGAATGCAGCAGGCTTGAGGCCAGCTCAGGCTATCTTGGGCTATACAGTGAGACCTTGTCTCACAGAAAAAAATACATGCACACACATACAAGTATCTATCTATCTATCTATCTATCTATCTATCTATCTATCTATCTACATATATACAATATACATTATACATAGTACTGGAGTATAAATACATTTTTCATACTCAAGCAATAACCACAACCAACTTATTTCTAGTCTAAATTGCTAAAAATTCTATAATCCCAGCACTTGAGAGGTCAAGGCAGGAGGATCCTGAGGCAGGAGGATTGATTGCTTTGAGTTCGAGGCCAGCCTGGGCTACAAAGTGAGTTCAAATGCACACTGAACTGCACAGTGAAACCCTGTCTCAAACAGAAAAGAAAAAAAGAAAAAAAAAAAAAAAAAGAAAGATGCTAAAAATTCTAAAAAGCAAAATAATGTCAAAATATTTCACCAATGAGGAGGTTGGCAAGAAATACTTCACAAACAAAATGAGAACAACTGAATTTTCAGTGTATTAGCTATACTTTGGGTAAGAGTGGGAAAAAGAAATGAGATGTTTCAAACTACTTTACAAGGTAATTTTCACTGTTAGGCTTATGATGCCGCAAATCTGTTAACACCCCTTTCTCACTGCTTGCTAAAAACTGCACATTTCACCCAAATGGTAGCACACATGAAGAGAATGTAGATCTGGCACAGTACCTTCGGATCGCTATGGTCATGGCTTCAGCAGATGTCGCACATGGACAGATGGCCTCAGGTTTTAGCCCATGGCTTTGGAACAGACTCAAGAAGGCATCACAGGATGACACAGACCCTAAGGAGTTGGAGCAGATCAACTTGAAAGCTGATTATTATTTAATTTTCGTTAATGCATGAAACAGGTAATGAGTGGAAAGCTCACATAGTTGTTTCTCAGGAGAACTCACATGTTCACTATTCATTCCAAGGGAGTATTTTACTGAGCCCATGAGGTGGTCTGATACAATTTCAAAGACAAATTTATGTTCATCCAACCTTCAAGGTCATTGACACTATTTAAAATTAAACTTTGGGGACCCGGGGCGGGGGGGGGGGGGGGGATACAGTTCAGTGGTGCAGCACCTGCCTGGCAAACATGAGGTCCTTAGTTCAATTCCCAGTAACCCCCTCCCCCCCAAAAAAACTGCCTGACAAAAATCAGTAGTAGAGACAATATAGGAGTATGTGGCTGGTTCATAACTTAGAGGCCCTTCCTGAAATAATTAGCTAAACAACAAAGTGTACTTTTGGCTTAGGTCCATCTTCTATGTGATATTCTTGGACTTTTAAATAAGGTCCATCCCATGTATTTACATAAAGTTCATACATTGGGTTATAGTAAGTCACCTTTTTTAAAATCTCTATAAGGATACCCACAGCTACATGATAAGAGTACATAAAAGAGCAAGAAAGGTTTTAAAAGCTTACACACTGAACATGGTGGTGCATATCTATAATTCCAGGACTCCAGGAGACTAAGGTAGGACAATCACAAGTTCAAGGGTGGCCTGTGCTACATTGCAAATTTGAGACCATCTCCAATTACATATTGAGCCCATCTCAAGAAAACCAAACCAAACCTTATAGAAAAGGGTGTATGGGAGAGTTTAATCCATAAAGGAAAAGCTATCCTCTGGCCCGCATTTCAGAAATACTCACAGGGATTAGCTCCATCAGTCACAATCAACATGCGGAGGGAACTCAGGCTTACATCCCTCTGGTCCCGATGTGCCATCATAGCCCAGTGTAAGTCTCGACATTTTACCAAAGCTACTTTGGCTATAAATCAAAGGGGATAATGTTAAGCTACAGACATACCAAATCTGGTAAATATTTAACATACTATATATGTGTTTGTTTATTTTGGGGATCTTAATGCTCACTTGAAAATTACAAAGCTTTCAAAGAGACTGCGCCAGCTGTCAGAGGAAGAAAATGCCACATTCAAATGACTGACAGATACACAATTGTTTACTTACTGCACCCTCCCAACAGGCCATAGCACCCCAGCCAAGAAAACTTTGGATGACACAACACTCAATGAATCTCATTCTGGGCTCAGAGTCAGGACAATTCATCTCAGTTTTTAGAAAAGGACCTCACTGAGATGAAACAGACAATGTATAACACCAAAGTCCACAATAACCGAACAATAAAACTTGTTAAGGCACCAAGATACAGAAATGTGTCTCTAGAGCAGCAGTTTGAAACTCCTAAAACCCTAATTCAAACATTCACACAATTCAAGCTTAGATGCTTTGTGTGACTACCTTTGTGGGCATGCACTCTTTGGACCCAAGAGAGAGGACAGGTCTTCATAACTGAGTAGGGTACACTGATTGTATGCATCTTATTCATTACATTCTGAAAAGCAGAGAAATAAGCAATCAATACCAATACATACTGTAGCATTTCCAAACTGAGTAGAGATTTTATCAGATTTAAATATAGAAATATTACTCAAATACATATTCTTTTAAAAAAATCTTGACTTCTTAATGATAGAATGGAAGCTCCTTAATACCTAATTCTATTCCAGCTCCCTCTTCTCTCCCTGAGAGATGATCACAATTATATACTATCTGATATATCTCCATAAAAATACATAGTGAAGCAGGACAGCTGAGTCACAGGGCAGATGGTTTAAAAATGCTATCAGAGGGCCGGCCAGATAGCTCAGTGGACTAACGTGCCTGCTTAGGCAGAGCAGAGCAGCTGAGGTTCGGTCCCCAGCATACACGCACCATGCTGGCCCTGCCCCAGGGGCACGCTGAGACTGCGAATGAGACTGGGCGTGGAGGCGCACACCTATAATCCCAGCTCTTGGAAGGCTGAAAACAGGAGAATCACTATGAGTCCGATCTGTATAATGAGACCCTGTAGACCCTGTACTAAATACATTAAAAAAAAAAGGCTAACAGATGCAGGTGAACTGTTTTCCACCTGCCAAGTGCATCCATTGTAGCCATGCTAGGGTGTATTACAAGGTGAGAAATCAAAGCCACCCATTTCTTACAAGCATTCCTGCCTAGACCTGTGAAGTATAAGGTCAGGAGACTGAGGGAGTAAGCATCGTACAGTCTGGTTCCTGTTCTGCCTCTTCAATATAACACACCCAGGATGCCCTGCTCCCAGAAACTGAGGCAGGCAGAGTAAACATAGGTTGGTATTCAGACCAGTCAATTCATTCACCACCCAAGTGGTCCACAGAAACCAGGAGGACATCATCCCTCCCTCAAGTTTCTATCTCTGACAAGCAACTTTTGGTCTCAGGATTAAGAGTGCTTTTATAACCAGTTCTTCACATAGGTACTTAAACTGACATTTTATATAACAGGAAGAAGAATCCTCTCAACACCACAAAAGTTTTTTTTTTAAAAAAACTTCTGATAAAAAAATAGGAAAGAATGAGTTAGATAGTAGTTATGCTCAAAGAATAAAGTTCTCCCTAACTTGGAGTGAGGGGTATTCTCTGGACAAAAGGGGGGCCCTTCTCTCCTTCCCTCATGCTTCATTTTCTTCCCCTGCAGGCTCCTACAGTACTAAAGGAAGAAGGACTAGATGCTCTTTAAGGTCCTTTTCAACTCCAGGACACTGTATTTTTTCTTTCTCCTAAGTGACATATTATTTACAAATATGAACTGTTGGGCTGGGGAGATAGCTGAGTGGTTTAAGTGCCTGCCTGGCACACACAAGCTCCTGAGTTTGATCCCTGTTACCAAACAAAACAGAACAAATACGAAATGTCTTCTCTTCTACCTCTACCCCACCCCCAATCTCTCTCTTTTTTGGGGTGGTACCAGGGATTGAACTCAGGCCCTTGTGCTTGCTAGGCAAACACTTATTCCACTGAGCCATCTCCCCAGCCCCTCAAATCTCTTTATGGCTAAAGCTTAACTGTTTTCCAAAGATCACAGAAAAACTGTCTTGATGCCCTGATCCAGGAGGAAGTCACCTTTAACAGTCATATGTCATGGCTCCTCTTTTATGGAGAGTAGACTCAGTTACCTTGTGACTCTCTTTTTCAGATGCAGCACATTGCTTGAACAAGACAGTCCTCCAGTATAGTACAGTATGTCCAAAGGAATGGCTAGATAACTGTCTAGAAAGTATTATCACTCTTCTGGGAGCTTAAATATCAAACAAGCACTGAGAGAAGCTCCATTTTACATAGCATTCTGGCCTTAATCTTAAAACACAACTTATATCCAAGGTCTTAATTCTGAGTAGCTTACCGAAAACATGCCATGCCACAGCCCAGCATCCTTCTTAAAGTCTAAAACATTCACTACTGTTTCTCCTAAAATAGAAAAAATAAAAACAAGGAAAGCATCTTTAGTATTAAACAGAAAAACTGTGTCCTTTACTCTTCTACTAAAGAAATGATTTGATGCTGTTTGAAAATGACTAAGGATTCTCAAGATCTTTTGGTTGCTTTAGGTTGCTACACCCGGGCTTTAGGATCAAAAATAGGGTGATTTTTGTCAGAACAGAGACACTGTATAGAAACTCCTATGACTTAGGTACTTTGTCAAGTATTTTTTTTGTGGTACCGGGGATTGAATTTAGTACAATTTGGGGTTTTTAGAGACAGGGTCTTGCTGTATAGTTCCGGCTGACCTTAAACTCATTATTGTCCAGGCTGGCCTTGAACTCATGGCAATCCTCCTGCCTTGCCTAAATGCTTGGATTACTGGCTTGTGCCACCATACCCAGCTGTTGTTTTTGACACAGGTCTAATGATCTAGTCCAGGCTGGCCTTAATACAAGGTAATCCTCCAACTTCAGTCTCCGGAATACTTGGCTTAGAGATGTGTACCCCCATGCCCAGCTTCAAGGGGCATTTGTCCTATTATAAGGGACATATTTGTTCATTCATTCATTATGTTTTGAGACAAGGTCTCACTGTGTAATTTGGGGTGGTCTTAAATTCTCCATGTGCCAGGCTGACCTCAAACTTGTGGTAACCCTCCTGCTTCAGACTCTTGAGTACTAGGATTATAGGTATGTGCTACCATTCCTGGTATGTGCTACCATTCCTGGCTATAACCACGTTTATTCTAGAAATTTTGGAATTTTTACAAATTATACATAAAAACTTGTGTTTCTTACACAAATTTAAAATGTTGGTCTATATATCTGTCTGTCTGTCTATCTATCTATCTATCTATCTATCTATTCATCTATCTGTACATCTGTCCGTCTGTCCATCCATCCATCCATCCTTCTAGAGAGAATATATCAAACATAACAAAACTGATACACACAGATATATATCTATTTTTTATTTTTGCATTTAAAACTGTTATCTATTGACTGGGTATGGTGGTACACACTTATAATCCTAACACTCTGGAGGCTGAGGCAGAATTACTGTGAGTTCAAGGTCAACGTGGTCTGCTTAGTGACTGAGAGGTTAATATGGGTCCCATAATGAGGACAAGGCCAGTCTGAACTAGAGTAAGGCCGTCTGAAAAAGGGAGGTAGGGAAAGACACTGGAATCATTTCTCTCTACTTTAATACTCAAGAACCTGATTTTAGTGCCTCAAGTTATAATCCCTTATAGGAATACATTATAATTAAATCAAACTCCATTTTGAAACATTTTAATTGCTTCATTATATGCATGATACGTATTTTTATCAAATACTTTTTAAATGAAAACATAGTGAAATTAACTAGTTTCACTTTATGGAAGAATAAAACACCAAAAACATTAATATTTCAAGAATATTCTAAACTTTTTTTTTTTTTTGGTGGTACCAGGGATTGAACACAGGACCTTGCGCTTGAAGCACTTATTCTACTGAGCTATGTCCTTGGCCCCCTTAAAGAATATTCTAAAGCAAATAGTCTGACACTATAGAGTACTTTTATGTATTTTATTTATTTTTTATTTATTTATTTGTGGGGGAGGGCCAGCTCAGCCCACCAGGGGGCGGGGCTGGCTGGCATGTGGTGCTGGGGGATTGAACCGCGGTCCCTTTGTTTTTGCTAAGCTTGTTCTAAGCAGGTGCTTTAGACCACTGAGCCATCTCACCAGCCCACTTTTATGTATTTTAATTTGTACCTTTTGGTAACTAAATTTCTTTATATCTGGCAGCTCTGTACACATGGGAAAATGCAGATACCGGAGATTCTATAGCTAGTAAATATATGGTTTTAATTATGATTTTATATTTTTGTTCTCAAGAAATAATGCTTTACATATTGGTTCACCTAGAATTTTAGTTCCTTTAAATTACATTAAATTATTTGTGAAAAGAAGAAAACAAAAGCAAGCCAAGAGTATGTCGAATGTTTCCTGCTGCACTTGGTCATTAAATGAAATCCAATCGTGGAGCATCCTGCTCAGAGTCCCACAGGGTTGGGCTGACAACGGGGCAGTCATGGGATGAGGCCTGACCTTCAGAATAATTGCAGGCCTGGGACAGAGCTTGGCAGTGAGACAACATTGCAAGACGGGACACGGTAACTCCCATCACACTCCCTTCTTTGCTGGTTTTATACTAGAAAAGTAAAACAAAAACAAAATATAAGAAACAAAATGGGTTAATTTAAATGACAAAATAAGAATCCAAAAATAAAACCGAGAAACTATTACAATAAGCTGAATTTAACATTTTGAATATAAATACTTATTAAGGCTATGTCCTTGGATTCCAAACTCTTATAACAAAGATAGAAGCGGAAGATGACAAAGCTCAAAAAAAGTGTGAGAAAAACTTAAAAGTTTAATTAGTCATTAGTGTGAAGTGGCTGCTAAAAAAGCTAAAACCAGTGACTTAGGTTACTCCATTAACAGCACAACATCAATACATTCACGCCCCAGAATCTAGGAGATGCTGGTTCCAAGACCCTCCTCAGATACAGATACTCCTCAGATACAGATACTTAGTTTCTTATGTAAAATGAGGTAGTATTTGCATATAATCTATGAACAACTTCCTATAGACTTCCCACCTTTATGTTCCATATAAGATTTAATACAAGTAAACAGTTATATTGATGGAATAATGGCAGGAAAGAAATATATAGTGGTCAGCATAGATACATTTTTTTCTGAATATTTTTGAGGCTGAATCCTCATGTAGAATCTACAGAAATGGAGTAAGACATGTAATACAACATGTCAAGCACAGTACTGCAGAACTTGTCCATTAGAAGCACCCAGTTTTATAGGTGCAGACCTATGGCCCATTGACTCCTTTGCTTTTTTTTTTTTTTTTTTTTGGTGGAACCGGGGACTGAACTCAGGCCCTTGCGCTTGCCAGGGAAGCGCTTATTCTACTGAGCCATCTCCCCGGCCCATCCTTTGCTTTTTATACTAACTGCTCCATTTGCTTTTTACAAAGGTCACTACTTCCCTTTGCCTTCTGTTTCTACCACTGTGATCCACTGTTCCTGGAGGCATTGCTGTTCCAAGGCAATGCAGAGTGGATGGAGCAAGCTCCTTTTCTGTCTCCCAGCTCAAGAACTCTATTTACTATACTGTCCTTGATAGACAGCATATCTGATATTAAACTGGGAAGAATAGATACTACCCTTGATCTTAGCCAAAAGGTCAAGGAATGGTCATAAGTTTTATGACTATTAACACTGAGAGGCATTTTGCTTACTTTAATCATACTTTTCTAAAATATTTCTCTACTCTTTTTTTAAGTTTATTGGTATAATTTACATATACATAATGATATTCATCATAGAAAATTTGTACCTCTATGTATCTTGATTTTTATTTTGTGACAGGGTCTTGCTATGTAATTCAGGCTGGCCTTGAACACACTGTGTACCCTAGGCTGGCCTCAAACTCACATCAATCTGCCTGCCTCGGCCTCCCAAGTGCTGGTATTACAGGTGTGCGCAACACACCTAGCCTTCACTACTCTTTCTTGACACTTTTTGCTTCCCTGGCTTTTGTGGTATTTCTTCTCTTCTTCAATGCTCTCTATCAGCGACCATTTCTGTACTGGAGTTCCCTGAGAGTTCTGTTTTCCTTTTTTTTGGTGGTACTTGGGCTTGAACTCAGGACCTTTCACTTGCCAGGCATGTGCTTATGTCACTGAGCTATATCCTCAACTCCTTCCTTCTATTCTTTTTATCCATCAGTACTGAATTAGTGACAATTCTCAGGTCTCTCTCCCCAACCCAGGCCTTTCTTTCAGAGTCCCAGATTCACACTGTCAAGTGCTCCCTGATCACCTTTAGTGCTGTGAAACACAACATAACCCGTCCTCCCTGCTTTAATACCCCTCCTCTACCTATGCAAACTCTTGTTAGGTTTTCTTAATGAAGGATGCCACCATCAACCCAGGTACCCCTGTAAAAACCTGAGTCTTTTTTACATTCTCCCTCTCCACTGTCATTCAACTAAGCACTAACTTTTCTACTTCCTTCCTAATTACCAATTTGCATTTCCCTCTAGTCCCACTACTTGGAGCTTGAGCTCATTTGGAAAAGGCAGACAGATCTCTTAATAACAGAGTCATTCTCATTACTCTCCTGCCGAGAATTCTTTATAGCTTCCTTTACCAACAGACTATTTTAAACTTCTAGGAGAGCCCTGGTCCTAAAATAAGAATTCCCAATTAATTCAGAATAGCAGGAGCCTAGAAATAAAGAGCACAGCAGGCTCTATGAGAGGCCAGAGAGCTGTGCAAGGGCTTTCCATCTTTTAGGAAGAAATCAATGGAGCCTGAAAAGGAATGCTCAACAGGGCCAAGGAGCTAGTGGCTAGACTTCTAAAGAATGCAATAAAGAACTGTGTCAGCACTGATAGGTGACAGAGATGGAGAGGTGATCACTAAATTTGGTATTCTGTTTGTCTGACTTTAAAAAAAACAACAAAACAAACTTGGCTGGGGAGACATCTCAATGGTTTAAGCACCTGCCTGGCAAGCACAAGGACCCAGGTTTGATTCCTAAGTACCACATGCTGTGCTTGCCCCAGAACCCCAGGTGTGCTTTGCTGGTCCCAAAACTGGGTGTGGTGGCACATGCCTGTAATCCCAGTGCTAGGGAGGCTGAGACAGGAGGATAACTGCGAGTCTGGGCTGTGTAGCAAGACCCTGTACCAAATAAATAAATAAGAATTTTTTAAAAAAGTTCTCTATCCCTAAAAATAATCCTTATATATATTACTGTACTGTCTCTCAAAATTATCACCCACTTTCTTTCACAGCCAAAGCTGTCTATGTGTGTGTGTGTGTGTGTGTGTGTGTGTGTGTATTTATATATAATCACCACAGCAATCAAAGGAGTGATTTTTCTCATCTTTTAAAAACTATTTTTTATTAATTTATTTTTAATTTTTTTTATTATTTATTTATTTAGTGGGGGGGGCAGCTCAGCCCACCAGGGGGTGGGGCTGGCTGGCATGTGGTGCTGGGGGATTGAACCGCGGTCCCTGTGCTTTGCTTAGCTTAGCTTGTTCTAAGTAGGTGCTTTAGACCACTGAGCCATCTCACCAGCCCATATTTTTTATTAATTTAGCAATCAGCTGGTAAGCACGGATCTCAAGCAGGATGCAGAAGCGTGGAAGGTATAGCTTGTGTGACCTTTGGTTATTTAAATTTTGTAAATCTTAGTCTCTTCCTCATCTATAAAACAAGTTTCATAAAAGTCTATGCCTGAGAGGGTACACTTGGAAGGACTAAATGAGATAATGCATCTGAACCCCTTAGCCTGACGCCTGGTGTCCAGTAAGACTTGAGCCTGCAATTCCAACATTCAGCAAATTGAGTTCCTACACAATGTTACACACTCAAAAACTTGAGCTACTTTTTCTTCTTGTTCTTATTTTTCATCTGTTGAACTTGTCTTCAACCAAAGCTATTTTCCCTCATATTTCCATTCTCTTATTCCCAACTCCCCTACCAAAAAAAAGCAGAGAAATTTCTCAGCCTGTGAACCACTTAAGTCTTCACACTTCTTGAAAGTCTCTTATAACTTTCTTTTATGGAAAATCAACTTCTGCTACCTTTCTTGAGTATTTATGATCAAAATAATTAGGAGAGAAAATATGCTACAGGCATTTCAAGTCATAATATAGAAATCTCACAAAGCAAGATCTTTTAATGTTAAAACTGTGACCAAGGGCAAAGGAAAGCCAGAAAGTGTGTTCCCAGCCTCAGGACTTACCTCAATGTATGCTGGCTCTGTACCAGCAGGTGATATGTGGGGCTGCCAGTCTTTGGGTGGCTTGGAAAGGTACTTGGAATCTGTTACAACCCACTTGAGCCGGGGCCAACCTAAATCAAACCAGAATGAAAACTGAATTACTTTAGTCATCAAGAAGTTCAGGGGCCAGGGCTTTAGCTCACTGGTACAATAACAAGGTCCTGAGTTCAATTCCTAGTACTCCAAAAAATAAAAAAAAAAACCAAACAAGGAGTTCACACTGGATTGATCATGTTACATACAAAAAAACCAAATTAACATAATTTTATACCAAAATATTTTTTTGTATATTTTTAATGATAAATCACTATTATACCTTCTTTCAAAAGTACAATGGTTCCAAATGCTAATGTCAGGCCTTGAGGTCTATTTTGCAGTGGACATCTACTGAGCTTAGTGGGCTATCTTCTCTGCACAAGTAGCATGTAGCCTTTCATGTACAAAGTGGTAGCTTTTTACAACCATCAGTGTAAAGGTTAAGGGTGAGCTGTGAAATCAGACAGATTTGAGTTCAAACTGCCACTCTGCCATTTACTTACTGTGACTTTGGGCAAGTTACTTAACCTTTGTTTCTCAGTTTCTTCATCTGTAAAATGGGGATAATAGTACCTACCTCATCAGACTGCGACAATAAAGTAGTAAGCTGTTACTAAATTAAAATGCTAATTAAGGAACTAAATCTTAACTTTTAATTGAGAATCTCCATAGAAATATTAATCACCTTTAAACTGTACAATTTCTCCATTCTGGGTTTTTGGCAATCCCTTCAAACAAACTTCACTGGTAAGAGCTAAGGCAATACCACAACTTCCTAGTAAGAAGCCAATCTGCTGACCTCCAGCATCCTGTGGAGAAAAGATAATGAGCATGGCAGGGGAGAGAATGTGAGCGCGTCCTGGCCACACATCCAGTGCTCCTGAGAGCTCCGACATTTGTGTTAACAACATTCATGCAGCCCCACCATTTGCTGGCAAAATTCAAAATCCAGTGACAATACGTTTTGCAAAATAATTTCTATAATACAATGACTTCCTAAGTATAAACCACATTACTTTATTAACCTATGAGTGATAATTATGAATCCTACTAGCAGGTGCGAACATTTTAACCAAGGGTTAGCAACCATTCTTTTAAGTAAGACTAGTTGTAGGCAAATGGAATGAATGCTGACATTTCCCTTAGTCCTACCCTCCCCATCCTAGAGAAACCAATGCAGATCAGAACAAAATAAATAATGCAAACAGATACCACATGTCTTTAAAATGAAAGCTGATGGGCAGAAACACCAATTCCATTTATAACTCCATTTATAATCCCAACTCCTATTATAATGTAATTTTAAAGAAGGTACTGGCGGTAGCTTTAAGTTTCAAAATAATGGCAAAAAGACAACGAAAGATACAATCTAAAGTGTTTCCATTTAAATGGCATCCTAAAAATAACCTTATGAAACCATACAAATACTGCCAACTTAAATATTTAAGAACCCTATGATTTTCTGACCAACTAGAGAATACCATATCTATGAGGAATGTTACTAATGTGTTTTTAAATTCCTCTCAAGAAGTAATTTTTTTCTTATAAATCAACTGTCTCCATTGTATTCATCACCAATATCAACTCTCACTAATACACTGCCTGAGAAAATTAGTATAAATAGTTTGTGGAGAAATAATTCAGTTAGATAGGGAACTGTTACATACTCTTTATTCAATAGGGATAATATGTTGTTAAAGTAGAATCCTATAATTTCAGAGCAGGAACACATCATCCCTGAATCACCCTCCCACTTAATGGAAAACCTGGGTCATTTAACCTAGGTTAAAGGAAATTCTTTTATAAAGGTCTCTGAAACAAAATGTACAGGGTCTACAGAGTCTCACTACACAGACTGAATTCATAGTGATCCTCCTGTTTCCAGCCTCCCAAGCCCTGGGTTTACAAGTGTGCACCACCATGCCCAGTCTCAAATGCTGTCTTAGCACGCCCTAGGGGCGGAGCTGGCACAGCATGGCACAAACCCTGGTCGCTGCGCTTGCCTAAGCAGGTGCTGTAGTCTGCTGAGCTATTTGGCCAGCTCAGTGGCACACTTTTTGAATAGAAATTATATATAAGTATGATTTTTTAAAATATATACATTAGACACAAAAATGGTGAGATTGTTTTCAAAGTCATGATGGGGTTAAATCAATCCAACAAGAATCAAATGCCTGTCATGTCAAACTAGGCTCAGCAATGTTGCCAGACATGGTGCCATATGCCTGTAATCCCAGCATTTGGGAGGCTGAGGCAGAAGGATTGCTGTAAGCTTCAGGTCAGCCTGGGCTACACATTGAGTTCCTGGCCAGCCTGAAATACAACCCTGTCTTAAAAACAATAACACACAGACACACAGACACACACACACACACACACCCATTTAACAATGTTACCTTTCTGGTAAGTGGTACCTCTATAGGCACTGGGATCACTTCTGCGAGAAGACATCCATAAAAAGCTACCATAAACATGACTGGATCATTGTTAGGGTAAACCAGGGCCACCTAAAATGCATAAAGATGTTCAATAATAGAAGGAAATTAAATCTGTCAACATCACTCTTACCAAAAGCACAATTAAACAAACTATTCAATAGGAATTTGTTCTAATGAAAATGAAGTTACTGATAACACAAAAATTGAAAGTATCTCCATCACTTCCATGATTATATTATAGATTTTAAGAAACAAACATGTAATCAATTACCATTATAATAAAAATTCTTCATTTAATTTTACTGGAGATTTTGCAATAAACAACTTGCCTTAAATGGTAGTTAAGAAACCCAAAGTTATTTACTTTAGTGCACAGCTAAAGCAACAAAATAAACATAGGAGATTTCTCTAAATAGAATAGCATATTAAAGAATAAGCTTTGCATTTCACAGAGGCAGCCTACCAGTGTTCATTGATTTAATTACTACCTCAAGGCCAACATAAGGCCTCTAGCTCTTTAATTCACTGCATTAATCCCTACCCACCCATCAAAACAAGTATTTTAGCATGAAGGCATTTTGTAAGAAATGTAAATAATACAGACAGAAACCATTATGGATATAGAGTTAATTAATTAACAAAACATAACCAGTGAAGCCAGGTGTGGTGGCACACACCTGTAGTTTCAGTACTCAGGGAGGTTGAGGCAAAAGAAACACAAATTCAGGCCCAGCCTGGACAACTTGTGAAACCCTTCTCAAAATCTGAAATGTAGCCAGGCACAGTGGTGCACACCTATATAATCCAAGCATTCCAGAGGCTAAGACAAGAGGATTATAGTAAATTACAGGCCAGCCTAGGCCACATAGTGACTTCCAAGGCCAGCCCAAACTACACTGTGAGACCCTATCTCATAAAACCAAATCAATGAATGAGTTTGTTTGCTTGTTTACTTGTTTGTTTGCTGGTTGTTTATTTATAAAGGACTGGGGGTATAGTGTGAAGCAAAAGCCCTGGTTCAATGTTCAATGTCCAGGACCATTAAAAAAAATACCTGCCAGCTGTGGTGGCATTTGCCAGTAATACAGGACTCCGGAAGCTGAAGCAGAAGGACCACTGTGCGAGACAGAATCTAACCCAAGCTACACAGTAAATTCAAGGCCAGCCTGAACTACATAGGGAGACCCTGTTTGCAAACAAACAAGACAATGGAGTAGAACCTCTACAGTATGTTCAAACTTGTGACCTTACCACTCCACATCACCAGGATAAATGACTTCAAAATGTACTTAAGGAATGCAAAAGCATTATCACCAAGGAATTTGTTACCTAGTTTAGATACTCACAGAGTAACACAGTTGTTTTCCCTTCTTTTGCTTTCTGTTTCTTGTTTCTTTTTTCTTTCTTTCTGTTTCTTTTTTACCCCTTTTCATTTTCTGAGACAGGGTCTTGCTGTGCAGTTTGGAATGGCCTTGAACTCACAGCTGCCTCAGCTGCCAGAATGCTAGGGTTACAGGGATGTGCACAACCACCCAATGGACTTCAGATTGTTGTAACATACTCCTAAGATAAGTTCAAGCTGAACTTTTTAAACTTTCCTAGAGTTACAACATCCTCATTGCATAGGCTTTCAGATAATTCCCTTCCTGGACTGGGGATTTAGTTCGGAGGCATAGCACTTGCTGTTGCTGGCAAGTGCGAGGTCTTGTGTTCACCTGCCGCTACCCCTCCCTGCAGAAGTTAGGCTAGTTAAGCCATTATACTATGTAAGATAATGTTTTTCCTATGCACAATGTCCACGTTGACACTCAGGTAGACACATCACCTTAGAAGAGATGAATGGGGCACAGGAAATATTCAAGTGTTACACTTATAACTAAAAGCCATACTGCCACAATGCAAGAAGCATTTTACCAGGGTAGTTTGCTTGATCCTGTAATCATGAAGCTACTAAAGTTTGTTACATAGTTGGTATCTCATTCCACAAATGATAAATGAAAAGTAATGCTTGGTAGTAGGAAATAATATTTAGAAAATCAGAGATAAGAAAAAACCTTCAAAACTTTTTTTTAAATTAAGGTCACTTTAGGGCCGGGGAGATGGCTCAGTAGGATAAGCGCTTGACTGGCAAATGCAAGGATATGAGTTCAATCCCCGGTTCCGCCAAAAAAAAAAAACAACAACTAAATTAAGGTCACTTTAAAAAAAAAATCAGTAGCAAGGTCTGATTAAAGGTAGGAAAAGAAAACTGCAGAGCAAGTCTGAGCCAAATAAAAGCAGGAAAAACAGCACCCTGCAGGGAAGAAAGGCCATCAGGCAAGAGCGAACACAGTGGCCTGTCATTTTTAATTAAATAAAATACTAATTCATTTTTTTGAGAAAGAGAATCTCTTTCTCTTTTTACATTAAACAAAAGAATCTTTACTGCTACCTTTATTGTCTAAATATTTAAGTATTTATTCCCACAGAGGTGTAGATTGCTTTCTTATTAGACCTTAAGAGTTTATAAATGAACAACTTCAGAAAAGGGAATGTGAACTACCTCTAGTCTCTGACTAGAAAAGCTATTGCCTGGAACTGGGCTAACATGGGTTGGAACTAAGCAATTTTAATTTTCTTACTTTCTGTGGTACTGGAAATTCAACTGAAGGGCAATCTGCCACTAAGCTATATCCTAAGCCTTTTCAGTTTCTCTTTAATTTCAAGACACATTCTCACTAATTTTCCAGGCTCAATTTGAACTCATCATCTTTCTGCCTCAGCCTCCCAAGCACCAGGGATTATAGGTATATGCCACTGCACCCAGACACCATTTTTATTGTATGAGTTATGTAAAATTTCTTGTTGCACATAAAAGCCCCAGAATGTACACATCAGAAAGCAACAAATGCCCCTTTTGTAAAACCAAAACACAGCTGAGTAGTGTGGTATAGATCTGTAATCCTAGACTCCGGAGGCTGAGGCAGGAGGATGGTGAATTCAGCTTCAGTCTGGACTACACAGTAAGTCCAAGCACAGCTTGAACTATATACATAGCAAGACCTTGTCTCAACAAATCAAAAAGATAAGAGATTGGGCATGGTGGTGCATGCCTGTAATCCCAGCTCTTGGGAGGCTGTAAACAGGTGGATCACTATGAGTCCGATCTTGTAGTGAAGCCCTGAACACACTGTAGACCCTTCCCTAAAACAACAACAACAACAAAAAACAACAACAAAAAAGAAAAGCCCCAAAAAACAAAACCCAAAAAGATAAAAAAAAACTTAAATACCAATTACCCTGTCTCCAGGTTTTAACACAGGTTCATTTTTGGTCCCCAGTTTATTAAGCAGTGTGTAGGCCAACTTTAAACTTCTGCTCCACAACTTCCCTGGAAAAGATAGAGGAAAAAAAAAAAAAAGTCAAACAATATCATAGGCTCATTTCAGCAACACAGCATTCAGTTTACCAGCAAGTTGAACAAGACAATGGCTACTTCCAGATGATGCCTCACCATCATCACCGTGCCTCCTCCAACACGAACTCAGCCCTCTTCCCCAAAAGGTTTGTATTTAGCCCAGTTTGTGAAGGCCAGTTCTATCTTGAAACAAAAATAAATTGCCCGGATTATATAATATTTTATTTTTTTCTGATTTCTTATGAATATCCTTAAAAATATATATTTTTTTCTTTTTAAGAACAGAATATTTATTGGGGAAAGAAAGCTTCTGTCTGAGAGAGGGACAGAAGGGAGATCCAAGAGTGTTGCCCCAGTTAAAAATAAGTTGATGTGAGTTGGTTACATTTTTTGATTGATCACATTTAAAGAAAATTATTCTTCCCTCCACAGGACTGAAAAACAGAGTTCTGTCCTAAGCATTTTCAAAAGAACTCAATACATTTTGTCAGATACTTCCGGTAACTGAAAAGCAAAAAGCATGTCAAGAATGATTCAACATTTCACACCACTGAAATTCACTAAAAATGGACCATGAGATGGAAATGGACTATTTGAGACATATGAATATATTCACAGGTGTTAAGCATGCAAGATCTGGCTAGCTGAATGATTTGACAGTTATGAAGATGAATTAATACTCAACATTTGAAGTGAATGCTAAACTCTCTTGCCCAAAAGAAAAATCAATCCTTTTTCTTCTTACCCCTACCTCCAGCTATTCTTAGAATAGGAAAAAGAAACCATGCTATTTTAAATAGTTGCTACTTTTACATACAAATTACTTAACAGGGACATTGAAGGCTTCAACTAGATCAACCTCACAATTTTTTTTTAAATACTTACTTTTCCTCAAAAACTATATCCAGTCTAGTACTACAGACAACAGTTAAAGAGTAAAAGGAATCTACCTGTATAGATTAGGAGCATAAGCTCTCACACTGGGCACAGTGGTACATGTCAATAATCCCGGCACTCAGGAGTCTGAGGCAGGAGGACTGCTGTGAGTTCAAGGCCAGCCTAGGCTACATAATGAGTTCAAAGTCAGCCTGAACTGCACAGTGAGAAAAAACCCCAACCATTTCATAACCAGAAGTAACTCCATTCTTCTTGAAGAGATTTCAAAAGAAAAAACCTTCAAGGTTGGGAACGTGGCTTAGTTACAGAATGTTTGTCTAGTATGCACCAGGAACTGGGTTTGATCCAGTATACCCCTAAATTAAATGAAATTAAATAATTAAATTAAAATATCAGATGCAACCTTAAGTGGAAAAGTACTGATTCTTTGTTCATTAGTGAATTTCTGCCTATTATGAACAAAATGCAAGACAAAAATTTTTAAAAGTACGGTTTCAACTTTTAGATAAAACAATTTGATTTTCTCCATACATTAACACTAACTAAATTTTTTTATAAATCTGTTTCCAGAAAGTATACCATCAAAAGAGCTATAGTCTCTTCTTTTTGTAGTCTTTAAATATTAGTGGCTTGCAAATGTCACTTTAGCAAGTAAAAATATTTGACAAAAGCCTTACTTAGAACTTAAGATCCCATTAGCTAACTGGAAAGATCCTTTAAAACATAATGACCAACAATTGCTAAATATCAAGATACAACTACTACCCACAACTCTGAGAATGGTTCGCAAACAGGAGAACTTGGACTCTGGAATACTCACCATATGTCAGTGTGTAAACAGGTTTCCCTGTCACATCCAGTGCAGTCAGACAGGGGCACTTGGCTTGAGTGGAGCCCCAGCGCTGCAGGGCAGATTCTAGAGCAGGTGGCCAGTTACAGATGACGCCCAGGGGCTCTCCCTTCACAGGTGTCATCTGCCGCCCCTCGGGTTTGGGCTGGTTGGGGTCTGGCTGAGGTACTATACCACAAAGAAATTAGATGAAATAAGACCAAAGACCAACAATCAATCCTAACTGCAAACATATCTTTTTCTTTCTGCATTGATCTGATGTAAATTTACTTTAAGAAAGTGCATGGCTATGAGCAGTAATCTATAAACTGAACTTTAATTCAATTTTCCATTTAATAGTGAAGTCACATTCAACATTTCATGCCATAAACAAATCCTGAAGCTGTACACAGAAAAACAAAGTATAATAACAATAAGCTTGTCTTCTGGAGGGTTAACAACCTAAGTTTGCAGACCAAAATTAGAGAAAAAGGAGGGCTTCAAGGAAAGTCAACATTTTGGTCCTAGCCTTCTAAGGTCAATTAAGACTCAGGACATATGAGAACTTGTACTGTAATGCCTTGTAACTCAGTAGTGTCCCAAATTTTCTGATCAAGGAGATTATGGGGCCAAAGAGGAAAGTGATCGATGATGTAGAGCGTGCCTAAGGAGAGTCACATGGAGAGAAAACATTCTCTCAGGCTTTCACAGAGAGCACATTGACCAAGCAATGGCTGTGACTCATCCACATGGCTGACACTGACAACGGTTCTACAATCTGAGGTACAGGATCTCAGGATAAATCCTGAGGGGATTTCATTGACCTTATCAGACCCAAAAGCTACAACTCTTGTTGCATAGGTCCTGCCTTACCTTGGTCTTAACCATCCAGCAGAAAAGTATAAAAACAAAATATAAGAAGTAAAGCCATGCTGTTATGTTGAGCTGTAGGGGACTCAGGTCAACAATTTCTGACACTGCCAGTCAAGCAGAAGACCCAATACTATTATGGGCTACTGGACTCTTTTAAAATATTTTGCTGAGTCTACATACCTATAATATTCAAATAACAGAACAAAAAGGGGATGCAGATGAATGTCCATTTTGTATCTGTGTATTCAAATGGCTAGGATAGATATACAGTTACATTCTCTTAATGAATAGAAGGATTTGTTCCAATGGTGTTTGTAAGAAGGATATCATGTCTGCATCTTGTACAGCAATTAACCACTAGGAAGAATGTATACAATGTGTTAATTATTGAAACTGTCCTACCAGTTTGGTTTGAAAAAAAGAAAGAAAAGAAAGTGTGTGCTAGCTTGTTGAACAATCTGTGCTAGGGGCAGGATGAGGGGTCTCAATTGGGCTATGTGGAAGAATAATGGTGATAGTCGACATCTTCTTCCCTCTGCTGGAGGAAAGAAGAGACAAGACAGCACTAGACTTTTGTTTGGGTCCAAAACTTGTCCGTCTCCAATAAAACCTGTTGTTGAGCAAGTCCTCCGATCTCAAGACTCCACACTGCTAATGGTGAGTGGCATCATTATGCCCACCCCAACTCAGGGTGTATCCCAACAGCCCTGAGATATGGGTACACAGCACCACTAGAATGGCCCCCACACACTGAGTTTCCAGGCCCATACTGGTGTTGGGTTGGAACTTCTGGATTTAGTCCTTAGCTGTAGCCCAGATGAGCCCATGGTCTCAACCTCCAGAATGGTTCTGGGACTTCATATGCTAGCACAACTGGTGTACAAGCAGATCAAAGGGCTCATCAGCACTGGAGCAATCAGGCTTTGGGAACCAGGCTACAGGCCAATCCACATGGAACTATACTCCATGTGGTAGCCTGGTGACCTAAGGCCACCTCAAGTATCAGGTTTTTAGGGCAGCTGCCTGATATGGATCTCCAGGTTGGCATCTGCAACCCCAGGCTTTGGGCCATTCCTCATAGCTATGAGCTCCAAGCCAGGCCTGCAGCTCTGTGCAGGAGTCCCCACTACACTGCTCCATTCATAAAGAACATCCAAAAGAGTAGAGCAATGAAAGTTCAAAAAATAACATGAAATCAGATTCTTTAATATATATTGAACATCTGCATTGAAAATCATTAATTCAAGGATGAACTATTCACTCCATTTAATTATTCAGTTTGTTGAATTACTATAGATTTGGGTAGTGATCCTAGGTGTAAGAATTCACTAAGAAGGAAATAAATTCATTTCTAGTGTTTAAAAAGTTAAAAAAAAAAAAAAAGAGAGAAAGAAATCCTCTGGATTCTCTATAAATGTTGCATGTTTTAAAAAGTAAACAAAGAAACCTGTTCTAAAAAAAAAAAAAGAAAAACAACGTATAAATTTCTTTTCAGCTATTTCACAATTATGAGTAACCCTTTTTCTGATGCTTTATACTTTATGTCCAGTGTTACAGAGCCAGGCTCCACAGCACCAGGCTACCCTTACTGAAAAGGCATTGAACTATCGTCAGAAAACCCAATTTTACATTCACTTTTTACTAGTATAACCCTAAGCAAATTCATTTGCCTGAACTTTGATTTCATCTGTAAAATGGGAATGGTAACAGTTACTGTTAAGACTCAAGCACGTAATGGGCAACACTGAACATTCCTTTGCCACAACTGCACAAATTTTACACAGTATGCTCTTTGCCTCCAGGTGAATTCTTATTCATTCCCTGCCCTGGATCCAGAAGACCATCCCCTGGGAAACATCCCTCACTGCTCCTAGAGGGGACTGTTCCTTCTTAAGGATTCTCGGACTGTGCAGTTGGTCACCCTTGTTGAAGTGCTAAGGATCAATGTTCCCATTGTGAGCACCTCCCACCCCCACTGAAGGCGTCCTGAGGGGGAAGAATGGTTCTAAAGCAGAAAAACACTCCTAGACAGCAGCTCCCTCTGCCCTTCAGCATCCCTCTTCCAGCTTTCAATAAGCCTTCTGATTTCTATTAAGCTTCTATCCTCTCCCTCAATCCCTCACTGATATCATCTTGTTCTACTATAGGCTAAGAAGGTAGTGAAACTTCCTGTCCAATCAACTAATGGCAAACACTGTGTTCATGTATCTCCTACTTGATTGTAAATCCTATAAAAATCCTGCTCCCTGAGCATTGGGGGCTTGGCTCTTTGGTGAAGGATCCCAGCCAATCCCATAGATGAGATTAAAGGTGTAAACCCGCCTCTAAAACCCAGGGTTTGTTGGGGTTTGTAATGTTTACTGGGACATGTAAACACCTTGTAAGAGCTGTAAGCACGTTTTCATGAGCTGTATGTAAAACTACAACAGTTCTTCTTCCTCTCACCACCTCCAGTGCCTAAAACAGAGGCTGTTCAACAGTGTTGATTTTAACTTCTTTTTTAAAAAAAATTTTATTTAGGACAGGGTGTACAGGGTCTTGCTGTGTAGATTGGACTCATAGTGATCCTCCTGTTTACAGCCTCCTAAATGCTGGCTGGGATTACAGGCATGTGCTACCACGCCCAGTCTCAATCACAGTCTCAGCATGCCCTGGCAGGGCCAAAGACTGAACTCCAGGACTCTGCATCTGCCTAAGCAGGTGCTTTAATCCACTGAGCTTTTGGCCAGCCCATCAGTGTTGATTTTAACGGAATTAAAACACACACACAACCACATACAGAAATTGTTAACATAGTTATTCCAAGACAGAGGTCTGGAGGTGAATAATGCTTCATATTCTTTGACAGAGATAAAACTAAAGTTCTCTTAATTTTTCTGAAATGAACAAAATTTTTTAAAAATCCTACGTTTTCATAAATGGAAAGATAATATATACTTGGAACAGTCAAATGTGCTAATTATGTACACAGAATGTGATAAACATTGAGAAAATAAATGCTGTAGATATTGTACTATGAGCTTATGTGCTTACTATGTGTTTGGCACAAGCATCAAGCACGCTCTGGGGTCATACACACTCTGAGCAAAGGCTAGGACATGAATGGCGTGTGAAGGCACATTTTGGGAGAAGATGTAAAGAGTGAGCTGAGTCTTGAAGAATAGACAGGAAACTTGCCAGGTAAAAGGGATGTAAGTGAAGTAACCAAAAAAGGCGTGGGGTGAGAGGGCAGAGAAAAGACACAGGAAGCAAGTATTAAATGGGCAAAATAAACAGGACATAGTGTTTCCAAGCTGAATATAATGAAAGACTTGGGAAGCTTAAAGTGTCTGGATTCATTCGTTTACTGGTACCAACCTCAAGAAATAGCTTTACTCTCCAATTCACTGCCCTGATGTCTCTACTATCCTTCTATTTTGTGTATCAGCAGGCTCCAAATTTAATTAATAAATTAATTAATTTTGTCTTTTTGAGATGGTCTCTCTATGCAGTCTGGTGGGCCTTGAGTTCACTTTGTAGGCCAGGCTGGTCTTGAACTTGCAAGGATCCTCCTGCCTCAGCCTCCTGAGTGCTGGGATTACAGGCATGTACCACCATGCCTGGCTTCATTTCAATTTTTAAAAATTATGGTGACTCTCAATAATTTTAATGTTATTGGGCTCTGGGAGGGCAGCGGCACCTCACTGCACACCATGGCTGGGCTGCTGGGCCCCGCGGGCAAGGTGGGAACCCAGCTCTGTCCCTGCACCACCTGCCTGCTGGGTGTCATCGTCCCCTGCACGCCGCTGCTCCTAGCCCAGGTCCAGTTCCGGCCCGGCCCAGACGCATGGCTGCTCTACATGGCTCGTGGGACTGTCCACAGCCACCAGGAGCCCAGCAGAATCGCTGAGACCTCAGGCAGCAAGGTCGGCAGCCCTCAGAGTAAGCAGAGCAAGGCACAGCAGCTGAAAAAGGTTTTCCAAGAGTACGGAGCCGTTGGTGTGTCACTGCATATTGGGATCTCGTTAATCTCCTTGGGCCTGTTTTACATGGTTGTTGCAAGTGGCGTAGACATGTCTGCAATCCTGCTTAAACTCGGATTTAAAGAGTCGCTGGTGCAGTCGAAAATGGCAGCAGGCACGAGCACCTTCGTGGTGGCCTATGCAATCCACAAGCTGTTTGCACCCGTGAGAATCAGCATCACCCTGGTCTCCATGCCCTTGCTTGTCAGATACCTACAGAAAGTGGGACTTTTTAAACCTCCAGCTGCAAAACCTTGAAGATTTACAGGCACTAAAACCTAGTTTGAGAGTGTACCATGTGGACTGACCAGGCTTGTGGGTTTTTCTGAGCAGCAGCAGGGAGCTAATTGCTATGTTCTCATGGATAAAGTTTACTTTTGCCACCAAAAAATAAATAAATAAAAATAATAGTAATTTTAATGTTATAGACAGACTGTACACGACAGGCATGGATTTCTGGATATAAATGTCTGCATTACTCCATCCTGCACCAGGGCTCAAAGAAGGCTCTAGGCACAGTCTATGAAACTTCTAAGATACACTGCTATTTTTCTTTCCCAAAGGTAGTGACTAATCACACAAGCAAATGTTATCTATATGTAATTACTAGAACACTATTAAGTTCGTTCTGCCAACACAATTTGCTCAAGTATGATACTGATTAAATCTCTACCTTCTCTTGCTAGGAAGGCTGTTACTGGTATGAGGAATTAGTACATCAAGAAAGATGTCACAGTCTAGTGAGGTTAGTGAGTCCTAAGGGACATAATGTCCTCTTAAACTGACATGTCAGGTTGTTTGAAAGACAAAACAAAATGAAATGAAGTAACATAAGCCAGGTGGATCTCTGAGTTTGAGGCAGCCTAGAATATACTGTGAATTCAAAGCTAGCCTGAACAACATAGTGAGACCCTGTCTCAAAAAGTAAAAAAAAAAAAAAAAAGAAAACAAAACAAACAAACAAAAAAAAATGGTGGGCAGATAGCTCAGCAGAATAAATGCCTGACTGGTAAGTGTGAGGTCCTGAATTTGATTTCTGGTATGAAAAAGAAAAAAAAAAAAAAAAAAAGTAAGTCAGAAAAAGAAAGGAAAGAAAAAACAAAAACAAAAGAAATATGTCAGGTCGCTTTTTGCTTTCTGCTGTAGAAAATGAGCTACCCAGTTTCATTAACTGTCTAATGTGATCAAAGCTACTATTAAACTAGGTATGGTGATACGTAACTTTAATCCCAGTAGTCTGTGAGGCTGAGATAGGAGAGTTTCAAGTTTGAACCCAGCTTGGACAATTTAGTAATGTAAGACACTGTCTCAAATTAAAAAATGAAAAGGGATGGAGATGTAGCTCAGTGTGAAGGCCTTAATTCAATCTCTAGTACTAGGGGGGAAAAGGAAATGTCTGGGAGCCTGGGAGCCTGGGAGCCTGGGAGCCTGGGAGCCTGGGAGCCTGGGAGCGGTGGCACATGGATGTACTTGTAACACTGTAGGAAAGCTGAGGCAGGGGAATCATATGTTTTGAACCAGTCTGGGCAACATAGTGACTCTGTGAGACCATATCTAAAAAGAAACAAATTTCAAAACAGCTGAGGATGTAGTTCACTCCCTAAGTTGAACCTCTAGTATGAGGATGGGGTTGGGAAGTGCTACAGTTTGACTCAAGACATGAAAATGACCTACAAAGACACCAAGGCATGGCTCTGTCAACAAAAATTCCCCTTTTTCTTGGACAAAAGCTTTTAGTAAAAGCTGTTCATTAACCAGCCAATAATTATCAAATGGCTGCCTCATGTTATCTATACTGATACCCCAATCTCCTCCCATTTTTCTCTATCTTAGAAATGACTTCACTTGTAAATATTTAAATTATCAAATAAAGCCCTAATGATTTCTTTTGAGAAGCTTTCTCTAACCACAAAGATGGAACTGATTTCTTCCCATTTTTCAATTGCCTGTATGTGCTGAAAAACTTATTAGCTACATTATTTCTACATATACTTAGTATATATTTAGCATAAATCACATATGAAAGAAGTGACTTCCTAATAAATCTCTAAACTTTTTCACCATCTACCACACTGTCTTGCAGAAGGCAAATATAAGTGTGATTGGTTGATTTAATAAACAGACTATGTTATATGAAAAGGACTGGGTAAACATTTCAGGTTGAATTTGATATTCACATCCTAGAGAAATGGAAAGTGTACAGCCAGCCAAATAGGTCAGCGGATTAAAGTGCCTGCTTAGGCAGCTGCAGCAGCTGGGGTTCAATCCCTGGCATGCCATGCCCCTGGGGTGCACTGAAAGGGGGTTTGAGACTAGGCGTGGTGGCGCACGCCTGTAATCCCAGCTCTTTGGGAGGCTGAACACAGGCGGATCACTATGAGTCTGATCTATGTAGTGAGACCCTAAAATCCTGTAGACCCTTACTAGAAAATAAAAAATAAATAAAGGGGGGCCGGGGAGGTGGCTCAGTGGAATAAGTGCTTCCCTGGCAAGAGCAAGGACCTGAGTTCAATCCCTGGTTCCGGGGGAAAAAATAAATAAATAAATAAATAAATAAATAAAGGAATGGAAAGTGTAAACAACTTAAAATTGGACACTTGTGATAGCCCTAAATTAAGAGCTTTGTGCTTAACAGTAGCCTCATCTCTTGGACCCCTTTTTCCCTTCCCTCTCTCCTTCCCTTTCATCTGAGATCTATAAAATAAATGACTCTGAGGGGAAAAGAGCAGAGAACTGCAGACTCTTTGAACCAAGAATCTTGTTTATCCTTTATCCTATGTACCTAATATGTAGTAACTGTTTAAGAAACATTTGCTTAATGGATAGATTTTTTGGTGGTTTTACTACCTTCCACAATTTCTTCAGAGTCATCCACAAAAAATTCTTTTAATGGAGGCCTTTTGGGTCGTTTCAGAGTATTGAGAAGCTGCTGGATTTTTGTGGATACTCTACTATTGACAGGAACACCTATAAAGGAAAACAACGGTGACAGTTAAAATTTATGACTTGGTATTTTTTAGTGTTTCAACATTCCCATGAGCTTTTATTTCTAATGCTCTTTGTTTGGACTTTGACTACAGTCTCACCCTCTTTCAACCAGGTGAAATGGGTACAAATGACAAGTTTTATGACAACAGAGGACTAAGATAGCACTATTATTAGTATGTTGTTTAGGGACTTCACTTAAGATCCTTTATCTGCTATAGAACTCTGTTTTTGTTTTTCTTTTCCATACTTGGGTTTTGGTCTGGACAACCTGCTGCAAGTGGCTAATGCAGTGTGATTCTGAAAGGGGCTGAGCTAGTCTGCCAAAAGCTACTACTGCTTACAATTTGAACTTTCCAGTTCAATTTACACTCTCTACTTAGCTATCAGAGAATGCCCTACCGTCAGCTGTATCCATAAGGCTGGACCTATTGGCTCCTTTGTGCATGCCTTTAACTATTCCAGAGGGGGGCAGGTCGATATTTGCTGGGCGTACTGAGGACGATGAGGAAGAAGAGGTAGTTGTGGTGACATCAGGGGGAGCAGAGAAATTCTCTAAGAGGGGAGAGAAAAACAAAACTTAGAATTATATGACATTAATAGCAAAAATAAGAAACCTCTAATGCTTTATTTAAAAACTATGTAAGTTTGTCATTCTCTAGCTGTTGTCAAATAAGCTTTTAAATCAAACTCTACCAGCAAGTTTCAGTAAGAAAACAAGAGATTAAGCCAGGATATATAAAGATCCTAAAATTATTATTTCCAAGATTTGTGTAGCGTGGCTGGGCATGGTGGTACATGCCTGTAATCTCAGTACTCAGGAGGCTGAAACAGGAGGATCACTGTGAGATTAAGGCCTACCTGGGCTACAACATGAGTTCAAGGCCTACCTGAACTGCACAGTGAGACTGTCTCGAAAAGACAACCCCAAATCAAATCAAATCAAATCAATTTGGGGGACAGGTATGGTGATAAACATCTGTAATACCAGTTTTCTAAGAGACTGGGGGCTGGACAGATAGCTCAAGTGGATTAAAGTGCCTGTTTAGGCAGATGCCAGGGCTGGTGGTTCGATTCTCTGGGCCTGCCTGCTGGCCCTGCCCCCAGGTCGCACTGAGACTGGGTATGGTCGTGTACCTGTAATCCCAGTGCTTGGGAGGCTGAAAAACAGGAGGCTCTCTATGAGTCTGATTTGTGTAGTGAGACCCTGTACTACATACATTAGAAAAAAAAAAAAAAAAGAGGTTGAAATAGGAGAATCATTGCAAGCTTAAAGCTAGCCTACGCTAAAAAGCCACATAGTGAATTCAATGCCAGCCTAAAGTACACAGTGAGACCTTTGCTCAAAAAATTAAAAAACTGAACAAAAATCTTTAAAAAATTATTTATTTATCTAGAGACAGGGTCTCACTATACAGTTTGGGCTGGGCTTGAACTCACAGCAATCCTTCTGTCACAACCTTCTAGTGCTAGGATTATAGGCGTGCGCCACCATGCCCGGTCCTGGGGCAGCATGGTACACCCAGGGTCATTAGGGGGCCAAGGATCGAACTCAGATCCTTGTGCTTGCCAGGTAGATGCTTATGCCTCTGAGCCATCTCTCCAGCCCCTTACATTTAATTTAAAAATAAATAAAATCAAATTTATCAAATAAGCTTTTAAATCAAATTCTACACCTGCTATTACTGGTCTGTTTATTTAAGATGCATTTGGTACAGGGTCTCACTACACAGCTCAGATTCGTAGTGATCCTCCTGTTTTCAGCCTCTCCAGCACTGGGATTACAGGTGTCTGTCACCACACCTGGACATGGTCAGGCTCAGTGTACCCCGGGGGTGGGGCGGGCACAGCATGCAGGACCAGGGATCAAACCCTGGTCCCTGTGCTTGCCAAAACAGGCACTTAGTCCACTGGTCTATCTCGCCAGCCCTTAACTGTTTTTTTATTTTTAAAGTTTGATATTTACTAACACAGGTAGATAAGTAAGTCATTTGAAAGGCTTCACTATGTAATTCAAACCCACTATGTATCCCAAGCTGGCCTCAAACTTCTGGTGATCCTCCTGTCTTAGCCTCCTGAGTACTGTGTTACAGGTATGTGCCACTTCGCCTGGTGAACCCAAGCATATTGCAGTATAACTTTCTGTAGGATAATACAGTAACAAAAGCATTAAAAATACACATTTTTGACCAGGTACAGTGGTATATCCTTGTAATCCCAGCTACTTAGAAGGCTGAGGTAAAAGGATCACAAGTTCAAGGTCAACAATAAAAGAAAACAAAAACAAAACAGGCAGGGGATATAGGATAGCATTCCCTGAGTTCAATTTCCGTATCAAAAAAAAAAAAAAAAAAAAAAAGAGAGAGATTTTAATCTAGCAAGTTAACTTTAGAGCTCATAGTAATATATCTCAACAAAATAAGCAGATAAATGTAAAAAAATCTATATGTCCAAGCATATGTTCAGCATCTGTATAATGGCCTAAAACTGGGTACTTCTGTTGTCATTGTTTCTCCTTTTTGTTTTTTGAGATAGGGTCTTGCTATGTAGTTCAGGCAGAATATAAACTTATTCTGTAGGCCAGGCTGGCTTCAAACTCATGGCAATCCTCCTGCCTCAGCCTCCCAAGTACTGGTATCACAAGTGTGCACCACTACACTTGACTTAGATATATCTTAGATATTTAAAATAGAGAATGGCTAAATAAATCCAGGTAATCATACAATGATGTATTCAAAAAAGGAATATGATAAAATCACATCGTATAATTATGATGAAAAAAGATATTTGTGATACATAATACTAACAAAAGATATTAATGAACATTATGTTCAAGACAATTTTATTTTTGTAAACTCAACACCAAATCCATATTCATATGTAAATAAAAATCCAGAATACAAGTCAAAGTGGGAACACATGTTATTTATAGGAAGTGGGATTGAAGATTATTTTTCTTTTATTGTGTTTTTAAATTTTCCTTATCAGGAACAGAAACTATTTCTCTACAGCAAACACTGAAAAGGCTGGGTAATACAGTTCATGTGAATAATTTAAACCAAGAACTTAATCATCTTTTTAACAAAAATAAAATAATGTTAATTGGGTATTAGAATAAGGTTTTTTACATGTAAAACTGCTGTCTTTCAAGACAGATACTGAAAAGCTCATCACCCATGGCCTTGTGGCTCAGAGACAGTAGGGAGCATGCGTGTCTGTGCACAGCAGCTCCCACAGGCTCAACAAGCGACAGGGCAGAGTTAAGAGCAAAGGGCAAATGATACACAGCTGGAACAGGGCACTGTGGGTAATCCTAGTACCTATTTTACTTAAAAATTATAACGCTAAATTGAAACAGTTCTAACTTTTTCTTTTCAGAAATCAGTTAATAAGGGTCACTGAGAAGAAAATTAAGATAGCAGAATGTGACAAGAAAAGAGGAAAGATACCACAGATATATAATGTCCATGTGTTATTCAGTGCAATTTGTGCTAACCAATTAAGCAAAAACAAAGATCTGTATCCTATCTGCAGATGTCACAGCTCTTAAAAAACAAACAAACAAAACAAAGCAGAGCCAAGCGAAAGCTACACTCCATACAGTAGCATCAGCAGCAGGCAGCAGCTTATGGGGACCAACATCTTTAGCCTGCCCATCCCGTGTATAGCAATACCACAGCGGCAAAGATGATAAATCCAGTCTTCATGCTGAAGACAAAAGAGCACCAATACTGGCCACTGTAGAACTGTTTAGGTTCAATGTTTTTTGTTTTTTTTTTATTTTAAAAAATCATTTATTTATTTAATTTGGTACAGGGCCTCGCTACTCCGAATTGTAGTGATCCTCCTGTCTTTCTCCCCAGTGCTGCGATTACAGGCATGCGCCTGGTTTCTTTCAGCAGCTGGCACAGTGTGCCTAGCGTTCTTGCGCTGGCACCACATTCAATAGTGGGAGTCACACCCAGGTCATTGCACATGCCAGGCAGGCACTTAGACAGTCAAGCTATCTCCCCAGCCCTAATGTGCTTTTTTTTCCTTTTTTTTTTTTGGCAGTACCATGCATTGAACTTGGGACCTTGTGCTTGCCAGGCAGGCATTTATGCTGCTACGCTATTTCCTCATCCCCGGGTTCAATATTTTTGGCTGGAGAGACCATATATCATAATTGTGAGAAAATCTAAGGTATTATGTATTTTAATATCTTTCAGTATAAGGAAGATTCTTCAACTGGGATAAGCCCACATACAGACTGGCATTATATCCTGCAGCTTGGGTATTGCTTACAGAAATAGATATGGCTTCAGGTGGGCAACACTAGGCACCAATAATACAGACAACACCTATCACTTCTGCAACAAATGTATTGCTGGTGTTTCCTTCTTTGCCTTTTTAACTATCATGTTCTTTCTGATTATATTTTCTTAGGTCACATAAAAAAATCTAACACAAATCATATACTGTTTCCTGGATACTGGGGGTCTAAATGGAACATAATTTGGACTTCTTGAGTAGATCCAGCTCCTACCTATTCGAGTATTGGCAAATACATCAGCTAGAGACCCACTGGTTCCTTTGACCTCTCCGTGGGACAGCGTAGAAGATGCGGAGGAAGAGGTGGACGATCCCTGAATTGAACGGTTGATCCAGGACTCAGCATTCTGTAAACTCTGTTGCAAGGCAGCAGAGAGCGCAGCTTGGCGTCTCAGAGAGCCCTCATCCTCGGAGGCTGAAGACGTGTCTGTGTAGAATTAGAAAAGAAGAAGTTCTCGATCCTGCCTACAACAATGACTTTTCAGTTCTTGTTCATTGATTACACATCTGATGTTAACACCAGCAAAACATTCGCATTCGCAAGAATCTCAAGGAAAGATCTTCTATGTGGGGCAAAGCTTGCAAAAATAAACAGCCCAACTCGGAAGCTAATTTTAAGTTCATTCTTTCTTTCTTATTTTTTTTTTTTAAAACAAAATCCTCTAGGAACATTTTAACGCCATTATTTTCTTTCTGAACTTAATTAGTATCCAAATTCTAGTTTAACTACTTTGTTCAAATAATACTGAAGTGCTTGTGCATCTTCCTTCATCTCTTAGAGCACTGCATGAGGGGTTATCACAACGATTTTATAAGTACTTTTTAGGCTCTACCTAAAAGGAAATGATCTTGATCTTGTTAAAAACTTGTATAACAAGCAGTAAGCACGATGGCAGGGAATGAAGTAGGTAAACACCAGTCCTCAGCCTGGAGACACTCATGGCTTTAGTAGGAAAGACAGATGGCCACGCACCACAGGTGTACTTTGTAAACAGAATAGGGGAGGCCATAGCATCTAGAGTTCTTTCTCTTCGCGGTACCTGGGATTGAACTCAGGACTCTGAGCTTGCCAGGCAAGCACTTACTCTGCTGAGTTATTTCCCTGGCCCAGCATCTAATGCTCAGTCAGAGAAGAATTAAAAAAAAAAAAAAATCATTAATATCTGTATCTAGCCTGGCTCTGACTTCAGGAAAATAAGGCTTAAATTAAAAAAGCATGGGGTTGTCAGGTTCTCACCCTGACTAACTGTATATGCTGGTGCCTGTGAGCCAGGCGGCTGCACTGAGGATGGCAATGTGTAATAGAGGGGTCATGCTAGGAGTGCCTGCCATCCTGGTTTTCTAAATATGTACTTCTTGTCATGACCTACCAATTATTGCCATACTGTCAAGTAAAGGTGTTTTTTGTTTTTTTTTTTTTAAAGGGTAATAAATAAAGAAAAAGACACAAGAATAAGAAAAAAAAAGTCACAGGTCTGTCCTGTTACAATTCTGCATATGGTTAGATTTCTAAATTTCTTTGTAAAAATATGTAAATGATTATTTCTAGTTTTTTTAAAACTATTTTTCCTTCATATTCTGTCAGGACTTAAAGTTCAACATATCAATATTTGAAGGAAAATACCTGTTCCATGATATGCCAACGATGTTTGATATTTGGACAGACAGGGTAAACCGAACTGCATATATTGCAGGTTAATAATAAGCTTCTCTTTTGGACGGTTAACCGAAGTTAGCAGATCAAAATTGGAGAAAAGGAAGAGCTGCAAGGTCAGCCAACATTTTGGCTCTAGTCTTTCAGTGAAGACTCGGGACACAGGAGAATCTGTACTGTAACATCCTGTAACTCAGTTTTGTTCCAAATTTTCTGATTAAGGAGATTATGGAGCCACAAGGAATGTGATCAATGATGTAGAGTGTGCCTGGGGAGAGTCACATGGAGAGAAAAAACATTCTCTCAAGCTTTCACAGAGAGCAAAGTGGTCAAGCAATGGCCGTGACTCATCCTCATGGCTGACACTGACAAAGGATCTACAAAGTTCGGTACAGGGCTACAGGATAAATCCTGAGAGTACTTGACTGACCTTATTAGATAAAAGTTACATTTCTTGTTATATAGGTCTTGCTTTATCTTGGTCTTAACCATCCAGCAGAAAAGTATAAAAACGAGGTATATAAAGTAAAGCTGTATTAATACGATGCGCTGTAAAAGGCTCAAGTCAGTAATAACTTCTGAGGATAACCCACTAATATCACAGACTGCTAGACAGTGTTGGATTGTTTAGCTGAATTCAAACACCTATAGTATTTAGATGCCAATAGAATATCCACCTCTGACAGGACTAAAAAAAAAAAAAAAAAGGGGGATACAAAGGAAAGATCATTTTGTATTTATATATACAAAATATTTAGGATAGATATACAGCTACTTTCACTTAATTCAAAGAGAAGAAAGAGGTGTACTAATAGTGTTTGGACAGGCTATCCTGTTTGCTTCTTGTAATATGGATAACCATTAAGAAGATAACAATGTACAATGTATTAATTATTGAAACTGCCCTATTAATCAGCTTTGAAACTGTCTCATTCATATTTGTTTCTCAATAAAATTAAAAGAAAAGCATGGGGGTTTGTTTTCCAACCAAATATAGGGAAGCAAAAAATGGGGGGATGGGGCTGGGGCGATGGCTCAGAGGAATAAGTGCTTCCCTGGCAAGCGCAATGGCATGAGTTCAAACCCCGGGTCCGTCAAAAAAAAAAAAAAAAAAAGTGGGTAGGGGGGACAGAAGTCAAGGCTCTAAGTTTCTAAGGCATAAAAGCAGTTTCTTTTTGTTTTGTTTTTTTCTTTTCTCTTTTAAGGCATTTGGTCTGGGATGGGATAAATCTTTCCACATGATTTGGGGAGCTTTGTTTTCTGATCTGTGAACTGAATGAATTTCCTTTTTTTTTTTTTTTTTGTTTGACACAAGGTTTTACTATGTAGTTCAGGTTGGCCTTAAACTCATTATGTAGCCCAGAACTTATGGTGATCCTCCTGCCTCTGCCTCCAGCATGCAGGGATTATAAGCATGCACCACTATGTCCAGGTATTCAAGCTTTTAAAGTTAAAAACTTTGTGGGTCTAGGCACACAGGCTTAGTGGTACAGTGCCTGCCTATCATGCATAAGGCCCTGGGTTCAGTTTTCACTCTCTCAGCACTGAGATGGAGATTAAGAGGGGGAAAGAGAAAAGAAGAGGGAGGGAGAGGGAGAGAGAATGGAATTGAGATTGGGACTAATTCTGCAGAATATTTTCCTTGAATTCACGTAAAAGCATAAATCTATGACCTGCTTTGGTTAAAAAAACTAAAGAGATAACTAATCAGGTCAGAAAACTGCAAGAACCACAAAAGAGTAACCAAAACCAAGAGTCAAATTCTGCAGGCTCAGAGCAGGACAGTTAAAATAATTACTGTATACTTGCTTCTTGCTCTGTACTAACATCAATTTATTATCTCATATTGAATGAGATCTGAGGCCCAAATCTGATTGTTTCAGCCTTTTAGAAAATGTCCTACATAATCACAGTACGTGCTAGGAACTATGTCAGGGCCCAGTAATCCTAACATAGGAGTGAGGGCCTATGAGGATTAAGTGTCCTAAAAAGGTTCACAGTCTAGTGCAGGAGATCTTAGCCTAGACCAGAACATGCAAAGAAATGCTCAGAAATGGGGTAAGCAAAGTGCTTCATAGAGAAAGACCCGTAAGTCCAAAACTGTATATAGTCCTACATAAATGAATAGAGTTTGAGGAGCTAGAAGGCAAAAAGAATGATGATAAAGAGACAAAGACCAGGTCTAAAAGGGATAGAGTTGCTTGAAGGAGAAACAGGACATATAATTCCACTGGATTTGCCAGCTGTCATTTTTTATAGCACCATTTATTTAATTTGTATAAATCTAAAATCAAAATAATCCAATTTTCAAAAGACAGTAAAAGCAGTAATTTTATGATTAGGTTTATGGAAAATTGGTTTTATTATGTTCATATATTGAAACAATTAAGTGGGTGAATTATTTCAGTTCAATTACCTGATCTGCCTGCCAACCATCTTCAGATTGTTGAATGACTAAGGCCACAGAGAGGACTGGTACAGGGTGAAATATGGCTTGGGTGTTAGTATCTCATTTGAACTGAGGAGTCCACCACTTAAATTAGTATGTACTATGGGGATAAAATTATCCATTTGTGAAGGCTGCCTGTTCATCCATTCGACAAATATGACTATGCTCTACATTGTAGGGATGAATGTTGAGCAGAAAGAAACAGTCCTGACTCTCCTACAAGAGTTTGGGGCAGGTACCCAAAGAACTGGACCTAAACCACAGCAGGGTAAGGAGGATTTTGTTATAAGGGATGTGTGGGATTAGGAGAAAGCAGTGTCAGGTAGAGGAGAACAGTATCTGAGAAGGCTGGGAGGGAACAAAAACAAGGCATACTTGGACATCTTAAAGAAGGTGAAATAAGCCAAAGCTTAGCTGCAAAACCGCAGTGATGAAAGCTGTGGCCAGATGAGCAGGCAGCCTGTGTTGCTAAGGCCTCACAAGACACACTGAGGAAATCTGTTGGTATAACTCCAGTGAGAGACCATGACCAAAGGCAATGTTCAGCAAAGCACCACAGCAATACCAATATAGCAGCTGGTCAATATATGTCAGTGCCCCTTCTCATCCCCAAGAGGATAATTAAAAAGGCTGAACTGGACATGATGGTACACACCTGTAATCCCAGCACTTGGGAAGTTGAGACAGGAGGACTGCCCTGAGTTCAAGGCCAGCCTGAACTACATAGTGAAACCTAGTTGCAGAGGATGACCGCCCCCCCCAAAAAAAGACTCTAACTGAACAAAAAACAAAAAAGAGGTGCTTGTTTGTGACAACATCTGAAATTCTTCCTGAGAATATTTTATTTT